TTCCACTCTATTTATTGAGCACCTACAATGTGCCACACATTGTTCTACACGTTTTATGTGCATGAAGTTATTAGTCCTCAGGAAAACCCTATGAAGTGAGTTCTGAGTCCATTTTTTTTTTTTTGCAGAAGGAAACTGAGGCAGGGTTTCAAGTGGCTTTTCTTTGTAGCACGCTTGGTAGGAGCAGAGATGGCATGCACACTTAGGTGGGATGGCTCTAGGGCGCTTCCTCTAGCCGCTGGGCTGGGCTGCCTCTATCTAATGTATGCTGGGAGGCTCTGCTGGTCTCAGACCTCTCCAGGACAGGCCACTGGTTGCTTTGAGCCCAGAGTCAGTCAGTTCTTAACGCGGTAGTCTTCTTAACGCTTGGGGTGGGGATGGGGGTGGGAATGGTTTGTAACAGGAGAAGCAAGCGGGAGCCCCCCTGTAATCCTAGATACTCAGGAGGCTGAGGTAGTAGGGTGGCAAGTGTAAGGGCACCTGGGCCACTTGGCCAAACTCTCTCAAGGGAAAAAGGCCGGGCACGCAGCTCCGCGGTGGAGGGTGTGCCTAGCGTGCACAGCGCCCTGGGTTCTATCCCAAGAACTGAGAGAGGGGACGAGCCCGGGAGCGAGCGCGAGAGAGGCGCATCGGGCCACAGTGACGACCTCGCGGCTGGCTCTTTTCTCTCTTCGCATCACCCCGGGAAGGCAGGATGATCTTGGAAACGGGGAGGAGGTCGCTGGGGAAAGCAAAACATTTCCCTAAGGTGATAGGTGGCTGCACCCCAAAACTCCACGATCGGAGAGAGTTGAGACCAGACACCCCGCGTGGGCCAGCCAAGGGAGAGGGACCCAGGAACAGTGGGACGACCCGAGGGAGGGGCCGGGGCGGAGCGCTGGGGTGGCGACCCGGGAGGCGGGGCTCGGGGGATGGTGCAATTCGGCGCCGGAGGGCATCAGACGCCGGCGGATTAGCCCGGGTTTACATCACCCGGCGGCCGGGAGAGAGACGCGGCGCCGGCGCCCACCGCACACTCGCAGCGGGAGCAGCGGAGACTCCACACGCGTCGTCTGCTAGTGGCGGGGCCGCGAGCTGGACCCGGGCCGCGAGCTGGACCCGGGCCCCGAGATCGGCCGCCGCAGCGGAGCGGGCTGCGTTCCCCCTGCGGGTGCCCTGGCGACACTGAGTACCCGAGGCGCCAGGATCCGCGCTGGGCTCCAGGACAAGGTACTCTGCAGGTCGGGGCCGGAAGGACCTGGCGGACAGGAGGGGCGGCCAGGCGGAGACGGAGGGTGCGTACGGAGCCCTCCGCGCCACGCACCCACTACGTTCCACTTTGGTCACACTCCGCCGTCTGGGGTCCCGGCGGGTCTCAGGTATTCCCCCGGGCAGGGCGTGGGGTCCGCGCGAGTGTGACCGAGTCCGACTGGCGCGATGGTGCGCACCGACAGGGCGTGGCAGCTGTGTCCCCTGTGTCCAGGACTGAGGTGACGGCTGTCACTTGGGAGAGGGTTGGGCGGTAGTCTGGGCGTGTTTAGGCGAGGGGCGTGTGTGCGGGACCTGTAGGGGGCGCTGGGGGACCGTGGAGGGTCTGGGTGGGTATTAGTGGGGTGTCGGGGCTCGGCGTGAGCCTGCAGAAGTCTCGGTGAGGGTCTCGGGGCTTTGGGTTGTGTTGACAGTGGGACCTTGGGGAGGGTTGGCTGTGCCGAGGACGCCGTCGGGCAGCCGGGGAGCGGGGTGCAGAGAGCGCAGGCGGGGACGCGCGGGCTGCCCTGGCACGTGCGCCGGAGCCGCTGCGACCGCGTGGGCTGCACGTGCGGACTCGGGTGTGGGGGCGAAGGCCCGGGGCCGCATCCCTGGGGCCCACACTCCCTCCCTTTGCCTCGTCCTTTTCCTGTCACCGACCTGCCCTCAATTTCCGCGGAGCCTTTTGATCCCAAACATCCGCCTGCTGGAGCTTCCGCTCCCAAGGGCGGGGCCTGGCGGGGACAGCGGCGCAGGGCGAGGTCGCAGACTGCCCTAGGGCTGTATGTACTTGCTTGCCCTCTTCCATGTGGAAGGCCAGGTGTGTGCCCCCGTCTGCCCTGGATTCTGTGTGCCTGTGCCTGGCTGGCTTGGAAAAGGGGGTGTGTGTGTGTGTGTGTGATTGAACTTCAAGGCCTCTGAGCCACACCCATCCCTTTTTATTTGGTGACAGGGTCTAGAAAACTTCTTAGGGCCTTGTTGCTGAGGAACAAGGTGAACTCTCCATCCTCCCGCCTCAGCCTCAGGAGCCACTGGGATTCCAGGCGTGCACCCGGCTGCCTTACTGGGAGACATATTTCTGAGGGGTGTGAGCACCTGTGGACCGTGGGTGGTGTGGCAGGTATTTGGTGTGACCTGCCTTCCCTCTCCCTGACCAGTGTGGCAGGGAACCCCAAGAGGTAGGAGGGGCCTTCCTTCTGCAGGGAAGGCCCGGTCCTGCAGTGTGGCCTGCACACTTCTTGCTCATTTGTGGACTTGGATAACCCATCTGTCCAGCACAGCTTGGCTTGGCCCACCCAGCTCTGAGGTGGGGAGGATGCAGGGGTCCACTAAGGTGGCCTGAGGATACTATATGTCCACCACCAGAGCCACTCCCGGCCAATAGGGAACCCAGCATTTGAACAGCCAGGCATCTTCTTGTTTGACAATCAGAACAATCTTGTGAGATTGTTCTAATTCACCCTGGCCTCATCGCTGGGGAGATCTCTTAAGATCCCCGTGGGTGGCACTTAAAACGTTCAGCCATGAGTAATAATAATAGTGATGCAACTATAGTAGTGACCATTTTAACATCTATGTTGCAACAGTTGCATGCTACTGTGGACCCACCGACCTACCTACCTTCCTTCCTTCCTCCCTCCCTTCCTTCCTTCCTTCCCTGGTTAGCCTTGAACTTGAACTTGGATCCTTCTGCCTTAGCCTCTGAGTAGCTGAGATTGCAGTCACAGGGCTCAGCTACATTTTTTTTTCTTTTTATTTCACCATTACAATAATCCTTTGAGCTTTTCTTCTCATTCCCATAGTACAGGAACTGAGGCACAGAAAGGTTGAGGAACTTACCCAGGGCTACCCAGCCAGAAAAGGCCTGAGCCAGAATTAGAACCTAGGAATATCTGACTACACCTTACCCCCATGTACACTTATTGCCTACTTAAACACTTTTTATTTTTATTTTTATTTTTTTAATGAGATGCCCAGGGTCAAACCTAGGGCCTCATGCACTTTGGGCGAGGGCTTTACCTCTGAGCTGCGCTCAGGTCCCTTGTATGTTACACTCTTAGCAAGTCAGGATGATGGCCTTTTACTTGACAAGGGGGCTCCTCCCCTCCTGAGGCGTTTGGGAGCCACATGAAGAGGAGAGCCTGTCTGATGCTCCCTGCGGGTGCCACTTTGACTGTTGGGAGGTCCTTACGGGGCTGAGGTGTCTCCCTCTCTAACCCTTATGCCTCCTTGGCCTGGAACCTGAGTGTGTGACACTGGAGAAACTGTCCCTCCTCCACATGCCGTTGCCCATCCTCCACCAACGCACATCGTCACACTGCTGCCCTCCATCCAGAAGCTGCATCTGCCTGTGGCCCCGTCTGGTGGACATGTGCCCAGCGATGCCAGGAGCTCTGGGGCCATCAGGGAAGAGTACCTGCAACTCCCCCCAGGGAGAAAGAACGACATTGTTTTGAAACACAAGCAATAAGTGATGCAGAATCTTCATTTAAAAATATGGAGCCCGTGTGGCAGCGCATGCCTGGAACCCCAGCAACTCGGATCCCAAATTCAAGGCCAGCCTCGGCAACTAAGTGAGGCCCTGTCTCAAAATAAAAAATAACCTAAAATAAAATAAAAATGTTGAAATTGAAAGTCCCCTTGACTTTCTACCCAAACTGCTTTCCCTCTAGGCCATGCAGTTAGGTGGCAGGAGTTACTGTGGCCAGTGGACACATAATCGTTTCCTGTGTGCATATAAATGTGAAGGTATTTTGTCTAATATGCTGGTGCCATTTTTTTTTTTTTTTTTTTTACCAAATAGGATCATCTCCGGGCTCTGTTCTGCGGCTGACTTTGTTCATGTAGGTTCACTGTGGAGCATGCAGCCACATGTTCACTCACCGTCCTCCCTCCCTTCGGTCGTAGATAATAGATGCTTATGAGATTTGAGGAACAGAACCGTGCAGTCTCTACCTCCCTCTCCCCAGCTGCCAGTTCCATCTCTCAACTCAGCTTTTTTTTTTTTAAGCTTCCTCTTTGTGTGGGGGTGGGTTGCTAGAGATTGAACCCAGGGTGGTTTACCATTGAGCTACGTCCCATCCCCTTTTTAATTTTTTGAGACAGGGTCTCCCTAAGTTATTGAGGTTGGCCTCAAACTTGTGATCCTCCTGCCTCAGCCTCCTGAGTCACTGGGATTGTGGGTGTGCACTGCTGCATCCAGTTACTGTACTTTTTTTTTTTTTGGCACTAGGGATTGAACCCAGGGGTGCTTTACCATTGTGCTTTACAAACATTGTGCTACATCCCCAGTCCTTTGTATTTTTCATTTTGAGACAGGGTCTTGCTAAGTTGTTGAGGCTGGCCTTGAACTTGGGATCCTTCTGCCTCAGCCTCCCCAGTTGCTGGAGTTACAGGTGTGTGCCCCTATGCTGTTTTTACACATTATTTTTAATATAAGAGCACTGTCTATATACAATTCTGTGTATTTTTTCCCTCTTAATATATGATCAATAAACATCAGTTTGTTAAGTGTTTGTTGGTTCTTCTTCAGAGTTATATAGTATTCTACCACGCGGCTGTCCTGGCCTGTGTTAGCCTTCCACTACAGCAATTTCAGGCTCTGATGGACAGCCTTTCATATTTAATGTTTTGGTGGCAGTGTAGCTGGAGGATAAACTCCCAGAAGGGGGCCCCCAGGCAAAGGTGCCTGCTATTGTGATTTTAATGCGCCCGGCCCCCCAGCAGGGGAAGAAGGGGCCCGCCAGCACCTCTCCCCTGCTCTCCTCCCTTCTTTCTAGATGCCAGCTGCTCCCCTGGCTGCTCCCGCAGGCTCCCACTCCAGGAAGAATCCACTGGAGCTGAAAGACGACCCAGACGTGGAGTGTCCCATCCCAAAGCGAGCTCGAAGCGAGTCCCAGACCATGCCACCGCCCTGCCTGCTGCCCCCGAGCCCACCCCCTGCTCCGGACCGAGCTCCGGCGGTGGCTCCTGCCTCCAGGCTTGGGCCATATGTCCTCCTGCAGCCCAAGGAGGACGGGCGAACCTACCGGGCCCTGCACTGCCCCACGGGCACCGAGCACACCTGCAAGGTATGTTGGGGGCCTTGGGAGGTTCCCGGCTCCTTGCCAGAGTGCGGAGGCCCCAGAACCCCTCATTCTCAGGTTCTTTTTGGAGGCAGCCCGTGAGTCCCTGGCTGGGGATTAGTTGTGTGCCTTTTTTTTTTGGGGGGGGGGAGGGTACCAGGGATTGAACTCAGGGGTACTCGACCACTGAGCCCCATCCCCAGGCCTATTTTGTATTTTATTTAGAGACAGGGTCTCACTGAGTTGCTTAGGGTCTCGCTAAGTTGCTGAGATTGGATTTGAACTCGCGATCATCCTGTATTAGCCTCCCAGGCCGCTGGGATGACAGGTGTGCACCACCAAGCCCAGTTTAGCTGTGTGGCTTCTAACAAGTCACTTCCTTTTTCTGAAGCTCAATTTTACCATCCGTAAATGGAACACAGCTTTCAGATGTATGTTTAATGCCCATAAACTCCTAAAACATTTCCCAACACCCTGGCCACTCTCACCACTTGCCCGCCACCCTTTCCAGCCACACTGACCTCTGGCAGAGTTTCTAGAGCCTGTCTGCTCTTGACTGCCTCAGGGCCTTTGCACTGCCAGTGCCCCTCACCTGGGAAGCTTCTCCCATGGGAATCTTTAAATCATTCAGGTGCCCAGAGTTCCTTCTGGGTCATGCTGTCTAAAATGGGCCAGCTTCCAAAGTACTATTTCTTCTAGGATCTTTCTGGGCTGGAAGCACTCAGCAGTACTTGTAAATACTGAGTTCCTTGACTTTTTTGCACTGTCTGCTTGCTGTGTTGGACTGCAGGCATCAGGAGAGAAAGGGCCGTGGCTGTCAGTCATTTGGCTCCCCAGTGGCTGGCACAGATACAAACTGATTGGCTGAGTGAAAGGGTGCCAGGCAGTGGCTCTGAGGATGATAAGCATAAACTGCTCTTTGCTCTTCTGGCTTTTTCCTGCTGTAAGGCTTTTCTGTTTAGCTTTTTTTTTTTAACTTTTATATGTTGGCACTGGGGACTGAACCCAGGGGTACTTTAACACTGAGCTACATTCCCAGTCCTTTTTATTTTTTAAGACAAGGTGTCATTAAATTGTTCAGGGCCTCCTTTAGTTGCTAAGGCTGGCCTCGAATTTGTGATCCTCCTGCCTCAGCCTCCCAAATCACTGGGATTACAGACGTGCACAACTGCACCCAACTGGCTTACCTGTTAATTTTAAATTTTCTGAAGTTGAAGGCCATACAGGGTAGCAGTTAAGGGCAGATGAAGGATCCCATAAGTTTAAGACCCGGCTGGGCCGTGGCTTCTCAGGTTTCTTAACTGTAAAGGGGGGATGTGGGGGGTGACCCTTCTTATGGGGCTTTCGTGGGCATTGAGGGACTTGGAAAGTGGGCACAGTGGACGCACAGGAGTGTCTAAGGTTGGCTGGGCCTGCTCACAAGGCCACCCTGCCCTTCGGGGACCCGGCTGCTCACGCGGTCCCCGCCTGCAGGTGTACCCGGCCTGTGACTCCCGCGCCGTGTTGGAGCCCTACGCGCGGCTGCCCCGCCACGAGCACGTGGCCCGGCCCACGGAGGTCCTGGTGGGCACCCAGCACCTCTACGTCTTTTTCACTCGGACCCACGGGGACATGCACAGCCTGGTTCGCAGCCGCCGCCGAGTCCCTGAGCCTGAAGCCGCTGCGCTGTTCCGTCAGATGGCCGCCGCCGTGGCGCACTGCCACCAGCAGGGGCTGGTCCTGAGGGATCTCAAACTGCGACGCTTCGTCTTCACCAACCGTGAGAGGTGAGTGCGGCTGAGGAGTCCCCGAGACAGACCTAAGAGGTGGCCCCTGCTGCAGAAAATGAGGCCCAGGCTGGCGCGGGGGCACACGCTTGATCGGGAGGCTGAGGCCGGAGGATCTTAAGTCTTAAGGCAGCCTCAGCCACGCGGAGGCGCTAAGCAACTCAGTGAGACCCTGTCTCTGAATAAACTACAAAATAGGGCTGGGGATGGGGCTCAGGGGTGGAGTGCCCCCAAATTCAATCCACGGTACCCAACCCCCCACCACCACCAAAAAAAGAAAAAAGAAAGAAAAAGAAAAGAAAGAAAGAAACCGAGACCTAGAAGGCAGAGTAACTTAAGCAAGAAGTGGAGAAACTCAGAGCTGGCAGCATAATTTGGTACAACATGCACGTATTTGGTTAGCATGTGCGAGGCCCTGGGGCTTATTTTATTTTATTGTATTTTTGGTACCAGGGATTGAACTCAGGGATGCTTAACCAGTGAGCCACATCCCCAGCCCTTTTTTTATTTTTTTTTATTTTGAGACAGGGTCTGGCTAAATTGCTTAGGGCCCACTAAGTTGGTGACTTTGAACTTGTGATCCTCCTGCCTGTAATCCCAGAGTCGATTCTACATTCCCCCGGCTTCCTTCCACATTTTGTATCAGAGCAGCATGCCTTTGAGTAAAAGTTGCATGTAAAATTATCTTGATTTTAAACTGGTAGGTAACTTGGTCAGCGCAGCGACCCCAGACCTTCTGGAGGAAAGTGCTCCCTTCTCTTTTGAAGGCAGTAGTTCAAGAATAGCTAACAGCTGGCTGCCGTGGCGCACACCTGTCATTCCAGCTACTGGCGAGACTGAGGCAAGAGGTTTGCAAGCCTCTTCCGTTTAGCAGGGCCCTCTCTCAGAATAAAATAACAATAACAGTGGCAGAGTGCCCCTGGATCCAATTTCAATGCCCAGTACTTCAAAAAGAGAAAAAGGAAAAAAAAAAAGAATAGTTAGCAGAAGAGGGTCTGTGGATCCAGGGAGATGATTCTGCCTTTCACCTGCTTTTGTTTGCACTGGGGTATTGGCTTCACTTGCACAAGCCTTTCTTTCTTTATCTATAAAATGGGCCAATAATGCTGACCCTGCCCCACACCCAGGCTGCAAGTCATAGGATGTCAGCTTTTTGTGAACTGTCTGGAGGCCACCAGGAAGTGGGCCATAAGGAAGATGAGTTGCAGTGGTCATTGAATAATTGTTATTGAAGCCATTCGGGGCTGGGCGTGTGGATCAGTGGTAAAGTGCTCGCCTAGCACATGTGAGGACCTGAGTTCGATCCTCAGCACCACATAAAAATAAAGGTATTGTGTTCAACTAAGCTATTAAAAAAAAAAAAAAGCCATTTGGAGTGCCCTGTAGGAGCTGTTTAAAGTAGAAATTGCGAGGCGGGGAGGATGGTTCCGTGGTAGAGAGCCTGGCGAACATCAGCAAGGCCTCAGGTTCAATCCTCAGCACTGCCCAAACCACAATAAAGTACAAGCTGCAAATGGGGGGCCAACATTTTAAATACTGGACTTTTTCATTAAAATATGATTTCTGGGGCTGGGGATGTGGCTCAGTGAGGAGTGCTTGCCCAGCATGCAGGAGGCCTGGGTTTGATTGCTAGTGCTGCCCATGCCCTTGCCAAAAAGATTTCTGGCTGCTTTGGGGGGAAATATGGGAATAAGGTGAGGGTTTGGATGCCTGGCTGCTAGTGGGGTGAGCCAGAGCTCCCATCCCGGCCCGAAGCCTAGAGCTCTGACACGGTGTCTTCTTTACAGATTGTAGCGACAGTGAAATGAGCTGAGCCAGGAAATGGCTTAGCCAAGGGCCAGCGCACATGGACACTGCAGGCTAGCGTAACTTGGTCATTCCCCTTGGAGGCAGGACCTTGCTGAGATGTTCCATGCACTTCCAGTTTTCTCTGTCTGTCTCTCTCTCTCTCTCTCTCTCTCTCTCTCTCTCTCTCAGTACTGGGGATTGAACTCAGGTGCCCTTTACCACTGAACTACACCCCAGACCCTTTTTTTGGGGGAATACTGGGGATTGAACTCAGGGGCACTGGACCACTGAGCCACACCCCATCCCTATTTTGCATTTTATTTAGAGACAGAGTCTCACTGAGTTGCTTAGGGTCTCACTAAGTTGCTGAGGCTGGATTTGAACTCACGATCCTCCTGTATTAGCCTCCGGGGCCACTGGGATGACAGATGGCGCCACCTCACCAGGTTCACTACCAGCCTCTCTATTCTATTTTGAGACAGGGTCTCACTAGGTTGCCCAGGCTGGCCTTGAACTTGCGACCCTTTTCCCTCAGCCTCACTATCATGGGATTGCACCTGGTTGGAATCTTATTTAAACGCAACTGCTCCGTGACCTGGGGAGACACAGGAGCCTAGGCTTCCCCACCTGTGAGATGAGATGAATTGTCCACCCTCCCAGAACCGGCTCTGTCTGTCCAATGCCAGCAGATCCCAGGGAAGGGGGTGCCCCTGAAGGTGACACTGGATGGTGGCCTGGGGGCTCCAGGGGGCTCTAACCTTCTGTCTCCGCCCAGGACGAGGCTGGTGCTGGAGAACCTGGAGGACGCCTGCGTCCTGACGGGCCCCGACGACTCCCTGTGGGACAAGCACGCGTGCCCGGCCTACGCGGGGCCCGAGATCCTGAGCTCGCGGGCCTCCTACTCGGGCAGGGCCGCCGACGTCTGGAGCCTGGGTGTGGCGCTCTTCACCATGCTGGCCGGCCACTACCCCTTCCAGGACACGGAGCCTGCTCTGCTCTTTGGCAAGATCCGCCGCGGGGCCTTTGCCCTGCCCCGGGGCCTCTCCGCGCCTGCGCGCTGCCTGGTGCGCTGCCTGCTCCGCCGGGAGCCCGCTGAGCGGCTCACGGCCCCGGGCATCCTGCTGCACCCCTGGCTACGGGGGGACCCCGTCGCCTCAGTCCCATTCCGCTCCCGTCTCTGGGAAGCTGACCAGGTGGTTCCCGATGGGCCGGGGCTGGAGGAGGCTGAGGAGGAGCTGGGCGAAGGGGAGGTGGGTCTGTACGGCTAGGGCCACTGTCCTGGGCTGCCAGCTGCAGACAGTGGATTGAGTTTGGGGGACTTCTCCAAACTTTTTCCAACTTCTTTGGACTGAGCCAACCCTTAAGTGCCTTCTGGGAGGAAGAAAGGAGGAGGCACTGGTAGGTGCATATGCATATGTCCTGCTTGGATGCTCCCTGTTTCTAAGTCCCCTTGTTGGTGCTGGACACTGAACAAACGGTACAAACCTCCTTGCTTGCAGAGCTGACAAGCTGGCATAGGTCAGTGTCTGCCTGGCACACTTAGTACCAGGGTCAGCCTCCACTTGTACTGGTGTCAGGTCCTCTGTCCCGAGGACAGTCCCTTTTCCAAACAGCCCAGCTACCTTTGTATCTTCCACCTTTCAAGGAAAGGAACGCATCTCCATGCCAAAGGTCCCAGCGTTTGCCCTCAGGACTGCAGAGCCCAGGCCGGCTGGAAATGGTGCTCTAGCTGTTTTGTGCTCCTGAATAAGGCATTCTCCTTAAGGGGTGCGTGGCATGCTCTGTAATCCCAGCAACTCTGGAGGCTGAGGCAGGAGGATCGCAAGTTTGAGTCCAACCTCGGTAACTGAATGAGACCCTGTCTGAAAATAAAACTTGAAAATGGCTGGGGATGGAGCTCAGTGGTAGAGAATCCCTGGGTCAGTCCCCAGTTCTATAGGAGAAACAAACACTCTCCTTCCAGGCCTAGGTCAAAGATTTGGGCCCAAAGGACACAAGAATCCCACTCTGAGGCTGGTTCTCATTGGACTCACGGAATGCTTGGGAATGGGGGTCCAAGTCTGCTGTCCCCTTAGCCCCTGAGGATCTTTGGGGGTCAGGACTACACAGGGTTTGTGTCATGGCCACTGGAAAGCCTCAGGCCTATTCTGGACATACTCAGGGTTCAGGACTGGGTCAATACCATGGATTTGGAACTATGCGTCGCTGTTCGCACCTTGTGCCTAATTAAAAAAAAAAAAAGAACTGTGAAATAATTTTATTTCTCTGGGAGATTCCTTGTAACCTCACAACCATCTCTTACCAGCTCTCCCTGCCTTTAAAACTGTCCTCCACGTGAAAGGCCAGACACGTGGTTGGTGAGGACACACTCCCCGCAGCCCAGTGGGTTTTACTGAACACTCTCTGGTTTCTGAGTCCAACTAGCATAAACACCGGCTGGGGGTGTAGCTCTGGTAGAGGTGGATGTGCCTCACACGCTCAAGGCCCCCACTTTGATCCTCAACATGGCAAAAAAAAAAAAAAAAAAAGCTTAAAAAGAAAGAAACATATTTCACCCAAAGCAAGAAGCCAGCGAGTGAGGTCCGCTTGGTTGAGTGGGTTCTCAGAGCTGTTGGCAAGGATGCCGCTCCCCAGCTCCTTCTGTCCTTCGCTCAGTTGTCGCCCAAAAGAGCTGGCACAGTGACTGTGGCAGTCATGTGCCACATTAGAGGAAGAAGGGGGGTGGCCTTGCAGCACTTGCGGACTCTACCCTGAAGTCAGGCTGCCCAGGGTTAAATCCTGGCTCACTAGCAGCAAGAGGACAGGCACCAGTGAGCAGGTTTGCTTCTGTCACTGTGGCACATGTCCATCGGCCAACCCCTGTCATTCAGATTCTCTGAATGGGAGGAACTGAAAATGTGTGGCCTTTTAAAATATATATATGGGAGAGCTGGGGCTGGGGCTGAGCAGTAGAGCGCTCGCCTAGCATGGGTGGGGTCCTGGGTTCCATCCTCAGCACCACATATAAATGAATGAAATAAAGGTATTGTGTCCACCTACAAGTAAAAAGTGTGTGTGTGTGTGTTTGCATACACTAATATCCATAATGTGAAATATGTAGGGCCTGTGTTCCTGAGGAAACAAGGGCCATGAACTTGTCCCCTTCTCTCTATGTGGCTAAGCCTTGCCTGCCACTTGAGGCAGGACCTGGAGCCTCTTCTCACCTTACTGGCCTCCTCTTTCCTGTGCCTCAGAATCTTCCAGAATTTTTTTTTTCAGGAAACAGATTTATTGGCTGCAGGGTCCCGAGGGGTTATC